TGTACAGATGGAGTTTCTGGGGTTATGTAGGACATCTATAAAAGACCTAATGGAGGGACTATGTAGCAGGAATGCTAAACCCTTCTCATACAACTCAGACAGTCTTATAAATAATTGATGTCGTTTGACGCCATGAATTTTCCCCAGAAACATGTTGTTGCTTGGAATGAAAAAGTTAGGACAGACCCCCTCATACACCCATTTGAAGATGAGTTTAAAACAGACCCAGAAACCCCCCAAGAGATTTTGTGGACACCAGTGAGGCACTGTATTTTGTTGAATCACCCAGAAAACTGCCGTCTTCATGTGATAGGAACACAGTAATTTACATTTTCACCTATTCCATTGTTAATTATTTCTTTTAAGAACAATTTAAGTAAGCCGTAAGTTAAGAATTGACAGTGATTCATTATATGCACAAGTTTTTGTTCAGCCAGAGAAAAAGAAATTCTCCATTCATGATCTTCATGATTTCCTAGCTTATTTCCAATTGCTACAAAGTGACATCCATTTTTCACTATGTCATCAACAACATGAGGCTGGGGCCATGAGTGACATCTGTGTATCCATGAAAAGGCAGGTGGAGGCCAAAAGTCACAAACAAAACAGTGGGCATTATCAAATTCTTGTGTTCCAATTGTGCTATTAGCACAAGGTCCATGTTGAGTGGTGTTAGTTAATTCAGAACACTTGGTCTGTCTGTAGTAAGAACTAGAAACATAATACCTGTTATTCATTCTAACACAGGCTCTCTGGACGTCTCTGTTCATGCTTGTTGACAGTAAATATAACAAAGTAAATCCTGTTGGACTATCAGAACAGTCACAGAGGATCAGTGTTTGTCTCTGTGTGTTGTAATACTGAGACTGAGAAATTCCCAGATCACGCGGTGATTATTTGGCCAGTACATGAAGTCTACATCAGATTCTATCAATCGGAACCCTTCTCCGTAACTTCCACTTAACATCATACTATCCTCATCACTTGTTGATACTTGATTTTCCACTTTCTCCCAGATGTCCACCACATCTCTCCTCATGGCTGTCTGTTGTGAGGTCCCCACGTTATAACAACACAGTCCCACAAACACCACTCTGATATGCTTTGCATGGCTTTAGTACTGAGAATGATTAAGTGGAAATTATATTTTTGTATAATTAATGTTTTACTTTTGAAAATCTAATATATCATTATCATCAATAATAAGCTTAATATTTAATTATTAAATGTTTCATTCAAAAAATGTTTACAGTGTATATATTTCCTCTTTAAACAATAAAGAATTTTCATATTCCCAAATCAAAAAAAAAAAAAAAAATAACTTCAACTAATTATCATTATTTTTTTAAATAGTTAAATGCATAACTGAAAGTGTCATATTGAATTAATCATGTTAATTTTTTTGTATAGGACATTTCTAGTACAGTGGTGTAAAAAGTTAAAACCAATTTTACTGTCAACAAATAACACTGAATCAGATGATTTAGGAATTGTTTTAGAGTTATTAATTCTTGTCATTAAAACTTACGTTTGTGAGCTTCTAATAGAGTTCAATTTCAGTGGCGCATATTCCTTTCTGCTAATGTGTAGGCTAGTGTGAATTCAAACGTAACCTGGGGTAAGAATTGTGGTAGACAAGGAGGTTCCTTTCGATAGATATTGGGGGTCAAGCTCAGACATCGACCATTTTAATATGACAAGTGAAAATAATATTGTAGACGTAACTACAGTTTAGTTATATCATGCTTAGAAAATGGAAACTTCCTTACTGAACCAAATTCGAGCAAAACGTTAAATTTCCTACTCACCAAATATAATTCAAGTTATCAATTTCATTTCCTGCACGTATTATGGACTCCTGTTGCTTTCGATGAAATTTTCTGATACAGACTAAATATTGATAATTAACACTTGAACTTTGTCTTAAAAATGCCAAGCTAATTAAAGGGAATAGTTTTGCCACGGGGACGTTTTAGTCGCCTGTCAGTTGAGGCCAAACGACACTCGTATGTCGCATCGGTGTAAAAAATGAATGATATCAAATAAAGTAATGTTTATTTCCTTAAAAATGATTTATTTATTTATTATTCATGATTATATGAAAGGTGCTCTCAAAATGACGAGAATTGTGTGCGTTTTATGACGTCACTATATGTAAGTATTACGTATTATGGAGAGAACAATCATGGGCATTTATGCCTGCTGCTAAATCTAATTCAATGAATGAAATATATTTTAAACTTAATATTACGTAAAAGTTCTATTCATCCATGTTTGGACATCGATATGTGCATTATTTGACAAATATTAAAGTAAATAACATTGCCTGTCCATGCGATAACTCATTTATGAAAGAGATATCGGCTTATGCATGAGATAATGGACAAAAAGTTTCAATCTTTATAAATCAAAGCAAACAATGTTGAATCTAGTAACGTATTCTTCAAAAATTTGAAAATAAAATAACATGAAGGCCTATAGGATTTTTCCTGCAAACAAGTTGAGTTTTGTGATGAAAATGAGATAAGTAAACTGTTTAAGTAAATCTGTTTGGGGGAGGGGGGGTAATTTATACTGAACTGCATCAAGGCAGGGGGATGGGCAGTAAAAACGTTTTGTATATAAAAAAAAAGTGGAAGGCAGGCCCCCATGCTATGTGCCTGCCATGGGGTTAGTATTGCCTGATGTTTTAAATCTTGGTATCCTGAAATCTGTTATCAAGCTGAAAGGATCAAGATCTTAAATTTTCATGCATATGCTTAATGGCAAAAAAAAAGGAATAGCGAGGTGATGTTTTCAATCTATTAGGAGATGATCGGCCATTACGCGAGAAAAGCAAAATAAATAAATAGATAAATAAAATAATAAAAATAATAAAAATAACATGGTTTGCAAACCATAAAATATGTCGTAGATGTTGCTGTAGTGTAAAATAACAAGTTTAAATTATGTATTATAAAAAATCATGACGTAAAAACTGATTCAAATGCCTAATTCTGATGCTGAAAGTTCTAAAATACTTGCTTCCTATAAGACACTTTTGAATTCCAAATACCAGGATAATCATTATATATACTAAGAACTACAATAAAGAATGAAGATACCTTAGAAGAGTTATTGCCCTTGGCAACATTTTTAAAAGATTGAATCACTGATTACATTAAAAAAAATATATACATCTTTTGAATTATTTTATTTAAGGACAGATGATATAAACAAATTTTTTCTTTGAAAAAGATTTAATATCATGTCACAAGTTTTGAGAAGTGGGTAATTCTAAGATTATTTTCTCCTAAAAACTGGGAAATGAAATAGACTAGGAAAATATAAGTAATATTTCAATAAAAAAAACAAATATAGACAAATCATAATCAGTAAAGGTTTACAGGTGAAAACAAATTTCAGAATATGTTACCTTGGTGCTAAAAGTATACTTTAAACTTTAAAAACCGGTGTGACCTGTCGGCAGGGATGCTCACACCTCAATAGCACCCGATCCCACCTCTGATGTTTCGGAGGTCCCTGTTTGCTCTGCTCTTATTTTGTATATTGTTTAATGGACTTTGAGATTGAATACTGTTCGTTATCTCCATATCCTTCTCTATTGAGTATAAATACCAGTTTTCAAAAACCTATGACATCATTAGAGGATGGAAATACCTTAAGTTCTATGGTCGTTGTAATGAACTTACTAGCACATATAACCTCTTGTTGAGTCGTTTTGTGGCTTACCAGTTTCGTACTCATTGTTAAGCTTGTGTATTAATTCTGAGTTTGACACCGGAAAGTTTCATCTTCCTGGTCATTAATATTTATAGGGCTGATGGCGAGTATGACCGGTAACTAATTATAAGGGATGTATTCTCCTTCTGGACACCTGTTTCCACCTCTGGTATTTACAGGGGTCTGTGGTTATGCCCTCTTCACAGGTTTCCTGTTTTTATAGTTTTTATAGATTTATATTAAATCATCACTGTTCTGTGTATTAATCCCTTTTTAAGTTTTTAATATAGTGGATTTTTTTCATGGCACTTGATCCCACCTCTGATGTTTTAGAGATCCGCGTGTTTGCCCTGCTCCTATTTTGTATTTTTTGTGGACTTGGTATTGAATACTGTTCGTTATCTTATTATCCTTCATTCATTAAAAAGCTTACAATTGCAATTAATTTTTATCCTTAAATTCACATATGTTCATTTCCGATACTGAAATTTAAAAAGTTGCATCGTTACATATTATTTCTAAAATTTACATATTTGAACCCAAATAAAAAAAAGCACCCAAATGTACGAAAGTGTAATAGTTCCATGTAAATATAATATATTTTTAATGTATTTCGTGTTGTCAGGGTTGGTTCAATCTAAAATTTTATAAACAATACGTTTTTAGCACATGGAATCATTTTTTAAAGGTTTGGATGTGGTCAATGACGCCAAGATAGATTTTTTTTATAACCAATAAAAATGATAGAAATATTTCAATACAACTTGTGTGTTAAATTTTCTCTTGGCCAAGCCTCTTATATATTCGTTAAAGCTTTCTCGCATTATAGACATTTCGAAGATTCACCATATTTATTATTCTAAATTTATATTTTGAAAGAAAAATTTGAAATTCTTCTTTGAACACAAAATGTCAAAAAATAACATAGACATTGGAAAAATCCAATGTACCAGAACACTCTTTACCTCAAATATTGTTAGCGAATTCTCATGTCTACATTCAGACAGTAAATTAGATGATCAAACTAAGCTTTAAATGAATCATATGGGATACATATGACAAAAATACTGTCATTGTATTTGGCATGCACTGGTCGTTGTAAATGGCTTGTAGTGGGAAAATATTGTACAACTACACATTTGTTCCAATTTACATATTCTGACACTTAATTTTAATCACTTTTGGCATATTTTTGTTCATATAAAACTTGTTTTGTTTTCAAGAAGGTGAACTACATGTATTCAGTGTCTTCCGTCAAATGCACAAATAAAAAATACTGATTGTCTTTTTTTTTTCCTTCACATTTTTCATCATTTAACTTCTGACTCCACTAGGTGTCCATTTTCTGTCTTTTCACCACAGAAGGATTCTTCGCTGAAGTTCAGGGGGAGTGTTTCCTGTCTACCATTAGAGGTTAGATCCTCCCTGTGTAACGAATCGCGATTAAAGGAATCTCGGTAAGAATCACGTTTAAAATCCGTGGCTGTCGAGGTTCGCACCTGCGTATAAACAGTACCGGAAGTCGTGCTAAATTCACGACGAGGTCGATATTGTGGTCTTCCGGATATCCGGCTGAAGCAGTTTTTCAGGTGACCGTGTACCTGTGGTATATAAAATCAAAGTACTGAAAGTACTGATACGAGCTGATGTTGTGTACGTGTAGTAAATTTTAAAAAATCCCACTATAGATGATGTTTTTGTTTGAATTTTATGGTTAAAGAAATATGAAACTAATGCAAATTTACTAGATAAAGCTAATCTCTAAAATATGCCAAAATACTTTTTTAAGAATTTACCTCTCCGTTGAAGATGCAGAATATCAAGGACACAAAAGCACCCTGAAACCAAAGAGTATACAAGTTATTACATGTACAATAAACTGTGTGACATTTTAGTTCAGGATTTTCATAAATCGTTTTAGCTTACAACTTATAAACCATGATCTGAAAACGTAACTACCTTGAGCTATTAGCTCACTATACCCTTGAACTGTAAAAATCAAGAAATTTAAGTTTGAAAAAAAAATTGGTTCATGCAGATGAATATTGAAACAATAAAATACTGTCTCTTTTCTTTCGTCGACTTTGAAGAATTTTAAATACATAACTTGCTACGACGAAATATCATGGTAAGTTATACGGGTTGATGCAAAAGTAATGTCACAACTTTGATAAAATTGGTATAAATCGACGTAAAGCAACAAAATTAAATATGATGGAAGCTTTATTTATTTCAAATCAGACCTGAAAAATTCAAAGGAAAATGATGTATACTTTTCAAAATATCGGATTTTAATCAATGCGCGTTTATGGTAGTCGCCGCACCTAAATATATCGTCATATGACGGATACACACCGTCATACTTTTAAGCGATTACCCTTCGTTTCATTAAAAAATATTTGTGATTTGCAAACACTTTCACCAATTCCACTTTCTTTAATAATTCTTGGTACCATTATACACTAAATCTTTTCATAATTAAGCCCTCTGTCAAAATTTTTTGAACAGTAGCAAAAGACAAACTTAAAAATTCACATGTCACTCTATACGTCTGTCTTTTTTGACTAACGTACGTCAGACACCATTGAACGTTTCCGTCCGATATCCTATCTTTTAGTATTCTTGTCCTCTGCTAATCATTCAGTGACCAATCACCCGCTCAAAATTGCTGAAACCATCTATTAAGATGTCTCTTATTTACATTCTTTATTCTGTAAGTCTGATTGATTAACGAAAATATCGCTAGTGATGATTCCCATATTTTGAAGCAAAAATGCATTACAACTCGTCGAGCCTTTTTTCCCCCATTTCGACAATCCCTTTGTTCAATTCAACAGAGTAAAACAACAATATTTATGATCACAAATACCAATGCTGTCATTTAATTTTCAATTAAAGACTAGAAAATGACGAAAATTGTGTCTTTAAAAAAATTGGGAGATTAGGTGCTTTTTAGAATCTTTTCAATGTGTTTGTCTTTTCATTCTAAGAAAAAATACACTTTAAAACGTGACGTTCCGTTGTGACGCGGCGACACCCCCTATGCTCTATGTTTTAAACATCTATAAAATGAATTCAAATAAACATTATAAAATTAAAATTACTAAGTTAATTACATTCATATTTGTGCATCTTTTGGTATATTGTATTTGATAATATGACGACAAATATAAAAGATATGGACACTGTGACATTACTTTTGGATCAACCCTCGTATACATCGTATTTTACTGATAAAAAAAAGCCTCTACTGAAACAAGAGGCCCATGGGCCACATCGCTCACCTGAGAAGCTTTGACCATTCTGTTCTTTACCAGATTTCCCCCTTGTTATACATAATGCATCCCCACCCTACCCCACTGATCATAATTTAGACATTTTGAAATCTACACTACCCCATGATCCTTCCATGGGCACATATGTTTCAGCTTTTTTGGCACAGTGGTTCCTGAGAAGAAGATTTTCAAAGATTTTTCCTATATATTTCTATGTAAAACTCTGATTCCCTATAATGGCCCCGCCCTTCCCCCGGGGGTCATGATTCCTATAATTTAGAATTTACACTACCCCAGAATGCTTCCACATAAGCTTCACTTTTTCTGGCCCAGTGGTTCTTGAGAAGAAGATTTTCAAAGATTTTTCCTATATATTTCTATATTAAACTTTGATTCCCCATTGTGGCCCCGCCCTTCCCCCTGGTGTCATGATTTGAACAATTTAGAATCTACATTATACCAGGATGCTTCCACATAAGTTTCAGCTTTTCTGGCCCAGTGGTTCTTGAGAAGAAGATTTTCAAAGATTTTTCCTATATATTTCTATGTAAAACTTTGATACCCTATTGTGGCCCCGCCCTTCCCCCGGGGGTCATGATTTGAACAATTTAGAATCTACACTATACCAGGATGCTTCCACATAAGTTTCAGCTTTTCTGGCCCAGTGGTTCCTGAGAAGAAGATTTTCAAAGATTTCTCCTATATATTTCTATGTAAAACTTTGATTCCCTATAATGGCCCCGCCCTTCCCCCGGGGGTCATGATTCCTATAATTTAGAATTTACACTTTCCCAGAATGCTTCCACATAAGCTTCATTTTTTCTGGCCCAGTGGTTCTTGAGAAGAAGATTTTCAAAGATTTTTCCTGTATATTTCTATTATATAAAACTTTGATTCCCCATTGTGGCCCCGCCCTTCCCCCGGGGTCATTATTTGAACAATTTAGAATCTACATTATACCAGGATGCTTCCACATAAGTTTCAGCTTTACTGGCCCAGTGGTTCTTGAGAAGAAGATTTTCAAAGATTTTTCCTATATATTTCTATGTAAAACTTTGATTCCCCATTGTGGCCCCGCCCTTCCCTTGGGGTTCATGATGTGAACAATTTAGAATCTACACTATACCAGGATGCTTCCACATAAGTTTCAGCTTTTCTGCCCCAGTGGTTCTTGAGAAGAAGATTTTCAAAGATTTTTCCTATATATTTCTATATAAAACTTTGATTCCCCATTGTGGCCCCGCCCTTCCCCCGGGGGTCATGATATGAACAATTTAGAATCTACACTACCCCAGGATGCTTCCACATACGTTTCAGCTTTTCTGGCCCAGTGGTTCTTGAGAAGAAGATTTTTTAATGACCCAACCCTATTTTTGTCTTTTCTTGATTATCTCCCCTTGCGAGGGGATATGTCCCTCCATTTTTACAATTTAAATTCCCCTTCACCCAAGGATGCTTTGTACCAAGTTTGGTCAAAATTGGCCCAGTGGTTCTTGAGAAGAAGTCGAAAATGTGAAAAGTTTACAGACGGACAGACAGACGGACAGACGGACGGACGGACAGACAGACGGACGGACGGACGACGGACAAAATGTGATCAGAAAAGCTCACTTGAGCCTTCGGCTCAGGTGAGCTAAAAATTGATATATTTTATTGTATTGTATTGCCAAAAAAAAAACATCCATGGTTTTTATAATAAAAGAACTGTTATTTATCGAGAACTTCATTCATTTGATTTTAATAACCTTTAAGGTAGTCATAATAATTACATTTTGCTGAGATTTGTACATAAAACTCAGTTGCAAGATATTATAATGCTTCCTCAAACCATTTATTCATTCTAATAGATTGTCAAATGTTTTTCAAATAAAAGTCCTTAAAACCATATCATACACATGAATGTATATTTCCCTCTTTTTATGTATTTAACTATCTATTAGTTAATAATTTAATAATTAATTTTGGTTGTAGCTCTTCATTTGATTGGATAAAAAAATTATCTATATTGTATAACCTTGTTTGCCTACAATGACTTTTGTCAAAACGTTTCAATCCGCTTGATGTTACGTTCAGAATATGTACAGTTTGAAGGCGTTTTAAAGGGGGAAATTGTCTTTTATTTTGAATGATTGAAAATTAAGGATATACGATCCTCAGCCAGGAAGGATAACTCTTTAATATATAATTTAATTCAAAAAGTCTTAAAATAAAGCTTGAAATTGAAATTTTTTCATGCAACAATTTTCATTATATGCCTCTACGTATGATTCAATGCTCTTTAAAGTTTTAACAAACGGTATTAAAAATGTTGACATTTGTACCTCATAAAATTAAGTATAACTTGCATATTTTAAAAAATCAATTTTTTTTTAATTTAGCCTTAGTTACCAATGTTTTTAAGCATGATTTGAAATTAAAAGTGATTTACGATGTTTTCTTTGAAAGGAAACACTTCATACACTATGCATTATGAAACGATGGAAGTAAGTAGGAGAAAGTAAAGTACCAAATAAGTGTAAAATTCATGCAATTTTCTTTCAAAGCCTGGATACCTATGATTTTTATTCCTAAAATGTATTTCTTCATCAATTATCAATTTAAAAATATGCCGTAGGTACTTCAAATCGCATTTCCTGAAAAATTATTTGAGATTTACTAATTTTTCCTATATAATATGATTAAATTTAAAGATGAAGTTTAAAGAAACACCGTGGGTAAATACATTTTAATTTGAGAATTTAGAGACCTCTTTGTGAGCAATTTAAATTACTCAATGCCTGATTTTCAGAACCTGAGGATCGGATAACCTTAAATTATAAGGAATGAATTAAATAGCAACACAAGTTATACTGGTATAACCTGGGTTGGAGCAGTTAATTCCTTATTATAAACGCTTCGCGGTTTATAAACAGTTAACTGCCCCAACCCAGGGTTTACGGTATACCTTGGGTTAATTCTGAATTCGTTCCGTAAAGGTCTACCTGGTCTTAGGTTACCTGTGTATCCTGTATGACGAGCCTTAGGATCTCGTACCACATGGCGTTAGCTGGTCTGTAAATGACCACCGCCCACTGTATACCAAACAACGGAATCAGAACAAAGGTGGCCTTAATAGCTCGTCTGGAAAAGGAACTAGGGTTATATGAACAGAACAAAGCATTTTAAATTCGTTTTTTATCATCTTATCTACGTAATCATGGATGCTGAGATAGAATAAAATGTAAATTTAAGGCATGAAATAACATTTATATACCAGATGATCAGAATAAATATATGATAGTTGCTCTAAATGTAGAAGTAATAGCTTAAAGATATGTATGCCGTGTTAAACAGTATTTTTGCACAGCTAAACCATACAAAAATCTCTGAAGTATGATAAGCTATCAAAAATGAAGCATTCTCGCAAATTAGAAAAATTATTTGGATTCAAAAGGGGGGGAAAAAACAC